CAAAAAAAAAAAAAAAAAAAAAAATCACGTCTGATCTTCATTTCCACAGAATTCACATTAAAAAAAAAAGTTGAATCATGTCTAGGCAGCATGAGCTGGATTGCAGTTTATACTGAGTACCTAGCTACATGCAGATACTGTCAGGAAGTAGAAGTCTCTTTAAGGCGTCAGAGGGCTAAAGGTGCTTCATATAAAGCATAAAGTAGTCCATGTAAAGTAACCCCCAAACCAAAAGAAAGTTGTCTTCAGGTAGATTTAGTTAAATTATTTTAGCAACGTCTTCCTCATTACTCCTTGTGTTTTTTTCATGATAATCTAGGCTTCCTCCCTCCAGCAGCAACCCTGCTACACTGTCAGAGACTGAATCCTCTTCTTCTACTGCTTTCTGGTACTGACTGACACTCAGCTCTCAGGCTCACCTCTGCCCTGGCCTTCACTAACTGGGTGTGACAGATGCCCTCATGACTGGACAGCAATAAATTCTCTCCTCTTGGCTCTGTGTCTCACCTTGAATGCTAAATTAGAGATGTTGGGAGGCATGTTAGTTCTCCCAGGCCCCGTGGTGCTGTTAGCACAGGGTGGCAGTTGTCAGATCTGTTTACAGACTACACCATCTATGTGAAATTGAAGGATAGTTGGTTCANGTTATTAGAAGGGAAGACCACCTCAGGAAGAAGCGAAGTGAGAAGAGGTTAGACCACGTGTCTAATAAGCTGGGTTCTACGAAAGGTTCCCCCACTAACTACCTGCATGACCTTGGGCAACTGGGGAAAATGGAGGTAAGGTTCTAGCAGCAACCGATGCAATCCACAGGAAGTTTCTGGGGAGACTGAGCTCTCTGAGGCCCAAATGCAAGGAAAGAACCCACTGGTCACGTTGATTTCATACAGGCAATGGATAAAGAGAAAAATGTTGCTCAGAAGAAAGGGGGAAATGTGAGGCTTATACATAAAAGTCAGTCCATAATGTGTAGGAACAATCCCATCTCGTCCTCCAGCTGTCTCCCTTAGATCCTACTTGTTCTTCTCCTACATATATTTTCCTTTTACTTCCCCATAAAATCACCCACTATTCACATCACCAAAATACACATGCAAAAAAAAAAAAAAACAAATCACGTCTGATCTTCATTTCCACAGAATTCACATTANAAAAAAACATAAATAAATATGACCAAATGACAGAAAGTACTGACCCTGCAATTGACCAGTGAAACTGAGTCTCAATGTAACAAGGTTGAAATAGGTCCCCTGGAGATCTGTGACTCACTCTCTCAATGATTCTAACTCACTTTCAATAATATTCAGACAACACCAGTAAAGCACCCAATTTGTATTAGACCTATTTTCTCAAATGTGGTATGAGAGATTATTCTAATGGGTATCCTGACACAGAATTACATAACATTGAATCACAGCATTAAAAAATCATTTTCTTTGCAATTCTTGTTTAATGTGTCAATTCACATTCATCAGTTGTAACAGACGTACCACTCTAGTGGGGCATATCAGATAATAGGGGAGGACATACCCACGTAGAGACTGAGAGGAGAAGGGATATCTCAGTACCTTCCTCTTAATTCTGCTGTGAAACTAGAACTGTTCTAAAAATAAAGATAAGGAAAATGGTATGGAGGTTCCTCAAACAATTGCAGATAGATCTACCATACGACCCAGCTATCCCACTGCNAGGCTTCCTCCCTCCAGCAGCAACCCTGCTACACTGTCAGAGACTGAATCCTCTTCTTCTATTGCTTTCTGGTACTGACTGACACTCAGCTCTCAGGCTCACCTCTGCCCTGGCCTTCACTAACTGGGTGTGACAGACGCCCTCATGACTGGACAGCAATAAATTCTCTCCTCTTGGCTCTGTGTCTCACCTTGAATGCCAAATTAGAGATGTTGGGAGGCATGTTAGTTCTCCCAGGCCCCGTGGTGCTGTTAGCACAGGGTGTCAGTTGTCAGATCTGTTTACAGACTACACCATCTATGTGAAATTGAAGGATAGTTGGTTCAAGGTAACAAGTATGCAAAATGTTAGTATTAGCATTACCACCCATCATAAATAGTGTGACCATAAATTTTATCATCCAACCAAGACACTGTTAAGAAGTGAAAGTGAACACTGTTAATAATTACACTGGAAAAAGAGATTATTTCCAGGTGCTCCACAATACAGAAGGATCAAATCAAGCTAAATAACATACCCATCCCCTCACTTACTTATCATTTTTAGTGGTGAGACATTAAAAATGTATTCTTCTAACAACTTTGAAATATATAATACATTTTTATTGACTATAGTCACCTG